CATGAAACATTGCAACATTTTTTTTATCATTTTTAATGAATTTAGCCAGTTGTTTTCAAAATTATTTATATTCAGAAGTAGTGTTTTACTTTCAAAGATGTCTTACACAGAAGTATATACATATATGTGCACAAACCAAACCTATAATACACACGTATAAGTAATGTAATTGGAATAGATTTATTGGTTAACTTCATATTGATAGCATTTACTTTCATAAACTCAGCCAGTGAGAAGAAATGATGACTAGATTTGAAATCGATAATTATGAATGGTGGATATAGTCTGATGTTGGTCTTTCATGCTTTTTGTTTTTATTACGCAACATTTAGAAATTATTAATTATATAAGTAGTTAAGTTATAGATTTTTATGGTTCATTTGCAATTTCAGTCAAATTTGTCAACAAACAGGAATGGAAAAAAATGTATTCTAATACCTGTATAGTAACAAATGGGAGAATGGCAGTTAAATTATTGAGGGATTTCAGTAATTTACTAAATGTGTTTGAGCTTATTTTTTTTTTAAATTATTTTAGAATAAGTTTAGATTTACAGAAGAGTTATGAAGATAGTACAGTTCCCACATATCCCACATTCAGTTCCCTTCTATTATGAAATACTGATATGTTATTATTTAAAGTCCACTCTTGGTTTAGATTTCCTTAGATTTTAACTGACTGTGTTTTCTTAAATGTCAAAAGAATTAAACTACATTTTAAGAATGGGGTTTGAATAAGGTAGTGGAAATACCAAAAAACTCCTGGATTGTTTGCTTTCTGTGGAATACAGCAACAACATTCTCTAATGTAGTCTCAGCTGGCTATTAACCGTTACCTGAAGCCACCTTTTTTCAAATGCTGTTTCTCAATAAGGAGTTACGTCTTATTAGTTCCCTAAACTCATTGCGTTGGTCACTTCTCCAGGCCTGTGCTGGCTCTCTGCCTGTATGTTCTCTTTTCCTCCTTGTCCAGATGGTGAATTTTGATGAATCCCCTAAAATCTAGAGTAAGAACCATCTTTTCCTGTGGCCCCATTTCTGAAGATGCTAATACCAGTCTCTAGTGGTTTTAGTAGCTGCCGTTTTTTTGTCAAACTGAGTACTCAAATTTCTATTCTGTTTTGTTCATTTCATATCCCATTTGACTAAATTGAATAAAATTTCCATTTCCTCTCTATACATGTGACATACCGAATTTGAGAAGCTTACACATTTAACCAAAGGGAAAGTCTATAAAATTTGATAGATAGATCAAGGTCTTTTGTGTCTGTGGGTGTGTGTGTGTGTGTGTGTACACACCTAAGTATAAGATATTTCCTTTTTTTAAAAAATATATTTTATTGATTTCTTACAGAGAGGAAGGGAGAGGGATAGAGAGCTAGAAACATCGATGAGAGAGAAACATCAATCAGCTGCCTCCTACACACCCCCTACTTGGGATGTGCCTGCAACCTCGGTACATGCCCTTGACCGGAATCGAACCTGGGACCCTTGAGTCCGCAGGCCGACGCTCTATCCACTGAGCCAAACTGGTTAGGGCTAAGATTTTTCCTTTTTTTTGTGGGGTGGGGGATGGGTAGAGTGAAGTCAGGAGAAAGGAGCTGAATTTAACCATTGCCACCAATGGACTTCTGTAGCTGATTATTTTAAGCTTTATAATTTAACATTACAATAAGCTTTCCAATTAAAATAATTGGATTTTTGAGGGCTGATTAAAAGAACACCAGTCGCACAATTTGGGGTGAATTCAGTATAATTTAATTAGCACTTTGATCGTGAGCGCCCATAATAGCGTCCAAGTGGGTCACGGCGGAATTTTTGTTATTAGTGTCACCCCTTCTTGCCTCACGTGCTGCCGCTGCACAGTCTGTAGTCTTCCCACCAGTGAACGGGAGAGATGGAGTTTTTCTCTGTTTGGCTCTGACTACTGGTAAAGCAGCGTGATTAGGCTGCCTGGTGAGCATTTTCTATAGGACTGATTACCCTCGCTAGCTAACCCTTTCTGTTCTCTGAACGGGCTGCGAGAGTATGATGGAATTACTAGGTATCGATTTATTAAGTTAAAGGAATAAATCCAGTGTATGCTTTATTCCCCACGCCCCCAATGGAAATGTAGTCCTGTCCGTGTTTGTCCAGTGAGGAGTGAACTAAAAACCAGGGAAAGGTAATTAAAGTCATTGTTGCTATTTCATAATAGCAGTGACATTTACATTTGTGTGGCAGCGAGCAGGCCTGGGTATCGTATCTGCCATCTCATTTAATCCAGACAGAAATCTGTTTCCACTGGAGCTAAAGACATTGTTTTTTCCCTTGACCTTGGAGGCAGCTGAAGGTCAGAGTAATTAGGAAGCTGAACTAAGATGATGCAGTCTTTATGTTGCAGAAGAGAACCTGAACTCAAAGCTCAAAGGGACCCTGGAGAACTTCTCCCAGCAACAAATTTGGTTTAGTTGAGTACTTAATATTGACCAGGTGATGTGCTGGCTTAAAAGACATCCTATATAATAAAAGGCTACTATGCAAATCAACCAAACAGCGGCATGACCAGTCGTTATGATGCGCACTGACCACCATGGGGCAGATGCTCAACGCAGGAGCTGCCCCCTGGTGGTCAGTGCGCTCCCACAGATGCTGGGCTCACAGCTGGCGAGCTCAGTGGTGGTGGGAGCCTTTTCCACCTCAGTGGCAGCACTAAGAATGTCTAACTAATGGCTTAGGCCCACTCCCCGAGTGCTCCTGGACTGCAAGAGGGCATAGGCTGGGCTGAGGAACTCTCCGCCCCCCCCCCACCCCAAGTGCACAAATTTCATGCACCGGGCCTCTAGTCTTCCTTATAAAAAACAGTCAAGTTGCAAAACAAGTGAATTCCCTCTCCTCCACTTGTCCCTTGCTCTGACTGGCTAAGAAGCTGAAAGGCTTGGGTGTGCCAAAATATTGGAAATAACAGGATTTCTTTGAAAGCAGATTTGGGGGGCATGTATATATTTTGGGGGAACATTTTACACAGGTTGTTATAATTCGTCTTGGGAACTGATCAATTTAGTGGCAGCGGAATTAGAGAGGATGGGCGAGGTTCCACATCTGTTTGGCAAGAATTTTAACTGTAGTTCAGAAATGACTGGACATAGGGAATGAAGTCAGGTCATTGAGGATACCTGTTTACCTTACTCTTCTCCAAAGGGGGTGCTGAGAGTAGGAAGTACCAGGGCAACGAGGAGGAAAGAGTAACAGGTTATATCCTGTTAGCATGAATGTCTTTTCTTACTCCTGCCCTCCATCTTCATTGATTACATCCTTGTCTACATTTAAGTCTTGATTTCGCTACCTATTTTTTAAAAATTTATTTCTTGAGTCAATATTACAGAATCTGTTTTCCCTGGAAGAGGGAACATTTTCAGGAATAGTCTGCAGAAATAGGATTCCTAGGTCACTAAATTCAGGGGAACATGAATTGGTCACCAAAGCCTTATAGGAGGATAGACAATTGAGGAGGAGAAAACACACAGAAGATAAAAACCAACAAGCAGAAGTCGGGGTTTTCTCCAAAGGAATGCACGCTGGATTACTGTTTCCCCCGACCCCCGCTGCCCCAGTGATGGGAACCCCTTCTTCCAGGAGGCCCCCTGGAATGTGAGCCCCACCAGCAGGGTTGTGAACAGCCTGGCTAGCCTCACCTGGGAAGTGGCTGCGGAGCATTTTGGTTTCAAAGAACGGGGTAGGGAACAGGAAAACGTTGAGATACCCATGAGGGCTGCGGGCTTGAGGACGTGCGTGGCTCTTTGGTGATGACAAAGCAGACGCTGCCTGGTTCAGTGTGAACAAGGAGGCTGTGGTTCCCCGCCCAGAGCCACTCACGTCAGCCTGTCAGCCTGGCCACCTGAAATACATCCTGGGCCGAATGAAGACCAGAGAAGCTCCCTCCCCTGCTGCCTTGGTAAATGGACCCTAAGCCTGACCTCTGACCCCTGCTTTCTCATAGGGTAGGACAGAGGGGGCTCCAAGTCAGTCCTAACCTCCCATCGCACCTGCAAAGCTCCACCTGCACAGACCACTTCTAGACAGTTGCGTGCTAAAAACACACGATTACGCGAGAACATTATGCGAAGTGAAATAAGTCAGACAGAAAAAGCTAAGAACCATGTGGTTTCACTCGTATGTGGGAAATTAAACTGAGACTTAACAGTGTGGTGGCTGCCAGAGGGAAGGGGTGCAAGAGAAAGGGGGTCCTAATATGAGGTGACAGGAGAAGATTTGACTCGGTACAACATACAGATCTTGTAACCTAGCAACCCACACATGAAACCTTTATGTTCATGTTGATCAATGTCACCCCAGTCAAGTTAATAATAAATAAAATAAAAACACATGAGTGATAGGGAGAGTAAAGTTTAAAAGTAAAAAGAAACTAGTTTCATGAGGGTTTCCTGAATGTCCACCAAAAGCATTACTGTAAATTTTAGCTCACTTAACAATAAAAATAGCACGGATAACCTGGGATTTAATAAAACCAAGGGTTGCATTTAAAATTAAAAAAAAAGAATAGATTTGAAACTATTAACCACAGCACAAAGAGATATTCCAACCACAATAAGTAATTCTTAATAAAATGAGATTGTTTTATATTAGTTGACTATTATTTAGTTACTAGAGGCCTGGTGCATGAAATTCATGCATGGGTAGGGTTCCTAGGCCTGGCCGGTGATCAGGGCCCTCTGGCTGCAGTCCAGGGCCTCCCTTCCTGGCTGGCTGCCGGCCGAGACCTTCCTTCCTTCTGCGCTGCCCCCTGGTGGTCAGCACACATCATAGCGAGCGATCGGTCTCCCAGTTGAACTCCCGTGGGGGCCATTTGCATATTAGGCTTTTATATATAGAGATCTGTCCATCAGAAACTCAGATTGCTACAAATTACCCATCAGACTCAATTTTTATGACGGCCTCTGTTATCTAGATAGTTCCAAGCATACGTAGGATATTTTTTCGTGAAGGAAAAATACCACTAACCTTTATGGGAAAGCAGTTTATCAAATGATTCACCCCATCGTATTGCTTCTTCCGGGCAGACTCTGTTCAAGACACAACATGTTTTGTAAGGAGCGTGCGGCAAGTCTGCCTAGAGTCTGCACTACAGACGCTGCAAGGCTGCTCTTCCCACCAGCCTTCACGGGTTCTCATTGGCCTATTACATAACGAAATCTGCATTCACACTGGCAACTTCAGGAACACCACTCAACTGGCTTTTCACTTTTGTCTTTGATTATCTTCTAAGGAAAAACTGAGCGTGTGGTAGGTTAAAAACCAAGGGGGGAAATTCAGGTCCATTATTTCTCTTAATTCAGCAAATAGAAGGACCTAAGCTGATAGTATCTTTCATTTTTTTTTTGTAAACTGCAATTTCCTTGAAACTCTGACCACAATATGCAGCTTTTTTTTTTTTTTTAACAGATACAGGAAGTTTGACTAATGAATTTTTAAAGGGATAAAAAATAGAAAACATTTTCTTTTAGCGATGCTGATCATTTAGGGAGTTGAGTATATTTGTCCTGGATCTCTTATTGATCATATTTCACGTTTGGAAGAATTTATACAAGTACATAAGGCTGTTCCATTTTCTGTCTGAATTAAAGAAATGGCTAAAAATTACAAAATACTCCTTTTTTTTTGTAATTTACTTGCTGTCATATCTAGAACATTTTTTTTCAAACCACCGAGGAAAGATGTGGCTAGCTCTTCTCTATGACAGTACACTGTGAGAACTCTTAATGAGTATTAGTTTATAAGGAGTCAAATACATCATTTAAAATGGACAGCTCAATCATTTTAAAAAAGAGAGCCCTTGAATTTTTATTAGACTATGTAATTCAAGCTATTAAAGTGGTTACATTTTATAGAATATTCCTTGTTTTTCTGAAATGAGATCGCTAACCTTCCCAGATTCCTGTGCAGTTTTCAAATAAAATGGAAATTCCTGACTTCCTCTTTCTTAGACCTTTCCTGATAGAACCAGCAAAATTCCTCTCACCCCCCAGGTAACGAAACCTTACACACCTGGTTACTCCGGCCAAGTGTGCAGACCTCCTGGCCTGGGGCTCCTCATGAAACTCGGATTTCTGCAGGAGGAGGCTCAGCCGGTTCCGTTTCTCCTTTGCTCTGCCATGAAAGGGATTAATTAGTGTCAGGAAAGTTTGGGTGACAGACTCTGTCCTGGTGACCCTCAGGTTTAGAATGACCTGGTCACCCGTTCTCACCCACCTCTTACCCTCACAGTGGTTTTCTTAACTTCACTTAAATAGTACTTTTCTTAACTTCACTTAAATAGAATTAGGGTAGCATATGTGAAATATACTGGTTTTTCCCTCCGTGACTGAAAAGTATTTAAGATTTTATTTCAATAAAGATTGTTGCTAGTCTGTGTGGTTAAAATTTTATTTTTCTTAAAAAAAATTGTTTTCTTAAAAAAAATTCTTAGCCCTTTTTTTCTTAAAAAAATGAAAACACGTGAGGGGTTAATGGGAGGAAAAAAAGGGGACATACGTAATACTTTCAACAATAAAGATTTTTTAAAAATTGTAAGAAACGAAAACACGATTTAACAGTTTGCTTCTAATAAAAAGTTGTTTTTTTTTCGATTGGAGCAGTGCAGTCAATATATTTTCAATTGGATATTTTCAAAACAAGGGCGAGCCAGTATCCTTCAGTCATGTTTTTACAAGTATAAGGCAGGTTTTAGAAATTCGGATTTTACCTGATTTTGGCTTCTTTGCTTGCTTCTTCTTTGGCCGAACCAGGCATTAACTTGAAAAAAGTTTTCTCCTTTGATTCCCACATATTCCGTTGAGTAAAGGAAAGCAGCGATGTTTCCATCTTCTCTCTAGAAGGAAGAGAGAGCTAATCCACCCCATCCTTGGCTTGCAAATGCGATTCCATAGTCAGACATGGTGGAAGGACGAGTTGTTAGCTCAGCTCTGCGGGCCGCTCTTACAATCGAAAAGAAAACAAGAGACTACGGAAGAGCCGGCTTTCTGCCTCCGCAGAGGCAGGAACCTGCAGAACTGAGGAACCAAAGTACAGCTCGGGCCCCGGTTGTTTAGGGAAATGATACTACAAATTTGCAAAGTGGCTCTTGGTCCCTGAGATAAAGGCTGGCGTCACCACCGCACGACTTCCCTTTCTGGCTGGTGCAAGCAGCCAGATGCCTGCACAGGCCCGATGCCACGTGAACCTTGTGGGGAGATCTCTAACGTGGGGAGTTCGTGTTCAGATGTGTTGCGGCCAAGTCCCACCTCACGCCTAGAGGTGATGACAGTGTGTGTGCTCAGGTCCTTGTGAACAGAGAAACGGCAGCTCCCCATTGGCTCAGCCTTCACCTCGGTAACCTTTCCACGAAACCCAGATCGACAGCTAAGAGATTCTGGTCTAGTCCATAACTCAGAGGTCATGGAAAAGGAAACCGGGGTGGTAGGTACTATGTGATGTGTTTTTACAAAGTCCCAGGGGTGGGGCGAGGCATGACATTAAGCAGGGCCCTCGATCCATCAGTGGCGAATGCTCTAATGCAGTGGTTCTCAACCTTCCTGATGCCGCGACCCCTTAATACGGTTCCTCATGTTGTGGTGACCCCAATTTCATGGTTACAAATTGAACATAATGAAAGCGTAGTGATCAACCACAAAAACATTATGTAATTATATAGGTGTTTTCCGATGGTCTTAGGTGACCCCTGTGAAAGGGTCGTTCCACCCCCAAAGGGGTTGCGACCCACAGGTTGAGAGCCGCTGCTCTAATTCCTCCCTGGTGTGTGGGATGGGGGATCAGACACTTTGGAGAAGGCAAATACCAGGGAAGCAGAGGGAAGTTCCGAAGTGACTTCGAAAGTCGTGGGTTGGGCGCAGTGGCAAAAACTCCAGGAAGGGAGAGCGCCCCTAGGAACTGGGTCCCAGCTTGGGGAGGGGCAGCGACCGATGTCCCCCAGGGAGCAGCAGGTGCTAGTGGTGGAGCCTCTGGGGAGGAAACACATCACAGCCACCAGCGGGGTGGACTCGGCCCATTGGCTGCTGACCACCCCGGGTCCCTGCCACTGACACTTCGCATCGACAGCTGGGTGCTCTGAAGGGGCTCACCCCATGGCTTGGATGATGGGAAGCGAGGGGTGCATGACTCACGAGTGGGCCCTGACGGATCAGGATGTGTGGAAAGACATTTCTCTCCGATGGGCGAGGAAAAGGAACCCCAGGGTATCTCCCAGGTCCCCAGCGAAGAGGGGTTCTGGCCTGGGACGTGAGCAGAGCATTTTCCCGGCTCAGCGCCCTGAGCCACTTGCGGGTGACCTTCAGGAAGGCCGAGGGTCATACAAATCCCACTTCAGCTCTCCCTCGGCCAGTGACGCGCTGGCAGTGTGCGTGCCATCTACCTCTGCTCAGTGTCGATGCTCTCAACGGTAGACTGGAACTCATCCATAGCTTTGATTCTGTGAATCTACAGAGGCAGGTTTTTCAGCTGCTTTGGATATATTGACAGATTTTATATTTGATGATGTAAAAGGTGAAAACACAGAGCCCGTGGACACAGACAATAGTGCGGTGAAGGCTTGGGTGGGTGGGGGGGATGTGCGGGATGGAGGGGGGCCGTGAGGGGAAAAAACAGGGGACATCTGTAATGAATATAACAATAAAGATCAATGTAAAATAATAATTAAAACATATTGCAATATGAAAGGGAACTAAACATAGTTTGGGCCAGAATATAAGGCTTTACATTCCAATTCTGGCAAATCCTTGGACGTGGTAATCTCACTGAGCTGTAGCATTTTCCGGGCCTGTGATTTATGATCTGCCCAGTGACCAAAAAAAGGGGGGGGGGCATGTCGACCTACTTCACATTATTCAGCTAATTCTGTTAAACAGCTTAACTGCTTTTCTTCCCTTTGTCGTTGTTGGACACATGAAAACGTCCCCTGGAGCAGAAATTGTCTATAATATATCCCTTAGGTTGCCATGCTCAGCTTCCAAAGGAGAATTCCAAGCAGTGATTCTTGGATTCTTTTCCGTTGTGTTTCCTTTGACCCCTTCGGGCTTCCTTAACCATCTCTGTTCAGAGGTCTTTCTGCTTCCCTCTGTTTCTGTAACGTCCGTGCTTTTACTTTCAGGGGGAAGTAGGGCCTCTGAAAGTTTAACTGGTGTGGAGTCCACGCCTGATTCGCTCAGATCGGTATTTACAGCACTGGCTTCGCTGTTCTCCTCTCCCGACCGTAAAACCGTCCAAACCCCTCCGGAAAGTCCATTTGTCCAATAAATGCTCACATGCGCCGCACATACCAGCCAATTGATTATGTGAAATACACACTGCCTTCATAGGTGCACCGCCCTGCACTTTTTGGGCTGGACTTCCCTGACTTCCAGGACTGCCCCTTTCTCAGAGCAGGTGTCACCATATTCCCTTCTAGCCCTGGCCCCCTCACTCTGGGGGAGCAGACCCCAGTCTCCAGGGGGGGCTGGCAGAGGAAAACAGGGACTCTCTTTAGCATAGAGCACGGCCAAGTGAGTGCCACGTGGTCGACGGTCTGAGTTGTGGGGAGGTGTGTTTGCTGGGCAGATGTTTCATTTCAGAGGTGCATGGGCAGCCCACTCTCCCCCCCAAAGGAATTCCTACCCTACACCTCCTGTTCTCTTCCAATAACTTGATGGGACAACTAATGGGGTCAGAGGCTGAGAAAAAGAACAAGTCAGATCCTGGGGAAGGTGAGAGGAGTTAGGAGACTTAGGGTATCCCGAGGGGAGTGGAGGAGAGACAGACAGAGATACCCAGAGACAGAGAGAGGCAAAGAGAGAGAGATAGAAACACAGAGAGACAGTGATAGAGAAAGAGAGACAGAGACATAGAGAGAGACAGACAAAAACAGAGAGAGAGAGAGAGAGAGAGAGAGAGAGAGAGAGACCAACCTTGAATTCTCTTTTATGCCAACCGAGTAGACAGATAATAACCTGATAGGCAAATATTTGTGCATGCGGCATATGTGTATATTATTTTATTGGATAAAAATAGATCAAGAAGTAGTTGCATCTGTTGTGCATCAGCACCCTGCCAATCATTTCGCATATATTTCACCTTTAGTCTTCAAACAACGTTGAAGGAAAGTCCAGCAGCCAGCCCAGGGGTGCAGACAGGCACTGTGCTGTGAGGTGCACCCGCCCTAACTTAGCTCTGAGTCCACTCATTGCTTGAATTCAAACTCGTTCAAAAGAGGGTTTTTTTTTTTGGTAAAGTTATTTTAAAAAATGTTGTTATGTAAGTGTTATTTTCCTAAAGGCAGTACTTTTAATTTTCTTTCTTCTCCCCAAGCCCCACTCCATTCAGATCTCTCTCATTTGCACCAATGAAACCACCAGCCTGGTTTTGCTGGGCTGGCATGTTTAAATGCAAGTTAAATGACTTGGAATGAAAGGCTACGCACGGACATTTTCCTGAGGTATTTTCAAACTGCGGAGGCCTTCCGTTCCTGATGGATTTGAGAGACGGTATCATAGCCACCAAGCTCCGTTATGCTTTTATTAGGAAGAGAAAATCTCTCCTCTCTCACATTAAAAGAAACACCAACCACTCCCTTGCAGACTCCCGCTCTCAGCTTGCAGCCTGCCCTTCGAAAGGCTTTCTACAAAACGCTGGCGAAGCAGGAGCAGCACTCGAGTCAATCCTCTAGGTGATGCAGACAGGCAACATGATCCCATTTTTAAGTGCTTCCTACCACTCTCATGAGATCCCGGGGCTGCCCGTAATTGCCAGCTTCAGATGGTCACACACCCTGACCTGACCATGTCATGCCAGTAACCCAGCCAATTCTAGAAATCCTACTTTGCTCCGTGATTTGACTATTTTAAACCCTTCACAGAAGTGTTTTTTTCTATCAGGAAATAATTGGAGCAATTTTCAAAACACTTTTGAAATTAGTCATCCATGTTTGCACAGCCTAGGTATCCTCCTATATATATAAATCTTAAATTAACCAGGGGGCAGACACTCTGACCGATAGGTTAGCTTACTGCTGGGGTCTGGCCTATCGGGACTGAGTGAGACAGGCCAGACACGCCCTGGATCCCTCCCATGGTTCCTCCCCGGCTGGCCAACCTTCTGCATTCCTCCCCAGCCCCAATCTTGCACCAGTGGGGTCTCTCACAATCCGGGACCCCTCAGGGGGATGTCGGAGAGCCGGTTTCTGCCCGGTCCCACAGGCCAGGCCGAGGGACCCCATTGGTGCACGAATTTGTGCACCGGGCCTCCAGTAAAATTATATGTTTCAGGTGGACTTGACCCAACTACCTTTTAAAAAAATATATATTTTTTAAAAGTTGATTTTAGAGAGGAAGGGGGAGAGAGATAGAAACATCAATAATGAGAGAGAATCATTGATTGGCTGCCTCTTGCACGTCCAACACTCGGGATCGAGTCTGCAACCTGGGCATGTGCCCTGATTGAGAATCAAACTGTGACCTTCTGATTCATAGATCGATGCTCAACCACTGAGCCACACCGGCAGGGCGACCAACTCTTTTAAAACTAAACTTCCCAATATATGTCAAACTAGTATTCACTTTGGCCAATACCCCAATAGGCATTGATTTGGCTCTAATACCTGTGTATTAGCACACAGTGAATCAATCCTGTGTCCTGCCTGTCAACTTTCCCCAACTCTCCCCAGACCTAGGACACGCGTGTCAGAGGTGACATGTGAACTCATTTTTTCGATTGAGATTTCTTTGTTAAAAGGCATTTAAATATATAAAATAAATATCAAAAATAGAAGTCTTTGTTTTACTATGGTTGCAAAGATCAAAAAATTTCTCTATGTGACACGGCACCAGAATTAAGTTAGGGTTTTTCAAAATGCTGACACGCCGAGCTCAAAAGGTTCGCCATCACTGTTCTAGATCAACAGATGTGGTTCTATTGCCTTTTCTATATCTGCACTGCAGTCAATTGTATTTGTAGCGGAATTCACACAGCTCTCCTCCGTTGCTGGGGAGTAAGGACCTTGGTCGACTGTCTCTTGCAGGCCTTTGTTGCCCAATCTTTCTGACCAAAGTGCTATCACCTCTTATCTCTCAGCTCCAGCATCGCCTTTTCAACCATAAT